CACACACACACACACACACCAGTGACGCGCCTCACGATGACGGACGTCGCTCTCAGCCAATCGGAGAGGAGGACCGCCACATTACCAGGTGGGTCTGAGCTGAGGTTAGATTGCGCCTCCTCACCGCTCCAGCATCCAGAGGGAGAACAGGTGCGTGGAGCCCTGATCCTCAGTCTGCGGTGGAGAGCGGGTCCTTCATGGAGACTGTCCTCCGGCTCCACTGCGGCTGCACACTCGCTACCCAGGCGTCCGAACAGGTGCCATGAGACGGACAGCGGCGCGGTGGACTGCGGTTGGACCACTACTCTGTACCGACATGGACCGTGACTACCTAAGTGTCGTAGTGAGACGGTGAGGAGGAGGGGGGGTTATTTCAGTCCCCGGAGATCGAACCCTGGTGTTGTTGTCTGCGTTCAACACGTTGTCTGAGAGGACGAGGCATCAGTGGAATAGGTAAGAACCGAGTCTCCTCATGTTGCACCACACCTTCCATCAGAGCCCACATCACAACATCCCCATCATGATGCTGAGGTGATGGCTCCGGTTCGAAATCCACATTACCATGTGCTGTGTTAGTGTAAAATCAAGCTGTGCTCGTTTCTGTCGATAATACCACATTGATTTAAGTCTGAATGCACATTAGTGGCACTGCCCGAAAGCTAATGTCCTCCATACAGTTATTTCTGGTCCCCACCATGAGGGGAGGTTGTTTCATCACTTCACTGTGTGATGCACAAACTGTGTCATCATCATTCAAATGGATGCAATGTAAATCTCACTGGTGTTTCAATATAACTTTACCAGCTGGGAAAATAACCCACACAAAAAGCTTGAAGCTTGAATTTGAAGTTGTTTTAGACATGACATACTTGTTTAAAACAAAGCTCCTATAACCTTGAGGTGACTGCTTTACACGCAGTCGAATAAAACTCAAGTAAAGACAAAGTTGCTCATCAGGTAAAGGTGAGTTTGCGTTAATTTGAATGAACTCAAAGGATCTTCCTTACAAATGATTCTAGTTTTTAAAAACTAAGTATTACATTTGATTAGAGCTGTGATTTTTGCAGTAATGAGACGCCCCACGTCCTCAAAGTCTCCACAGTAAGAGTTATATTGTAATATTTTGTATTTTCTGTTTGTGTGGGTGTATTGTCAGCCTCAGCAGAGCGAGCGCCCCTTCGTATTTTGTGTTGTTTTGGTTCGAAGCCTCAGTCATTGGCCTAATGGGCTTACTGGGATAAGCTCTATAATCACATGCTGTTCCTGGTAGGGCTGAGTATATAGATTGGCATTTTTCAATAGGGCCTCCTTTTGCTGACATGATAGCTTCTTAAATGATTGCACTGGTAGCAAAACAATACTTTTTCATATTTCAAGTTGAGGATTATAAATTTTTTCTTTTTAAAATATTAAAAAAAAAATTAATGCCAGTTTGAAGTCTTGTCCGTTTTCAACACCTGCTGCCACAGACACAATTTGTTCCGCAATCAGAAGGTATGGATTTTCGATACTGAGCTCTATTTGCTGTTTGTCATAATAGAGACGCAGGTGGTGTGTGACTGGAGGACTGCTGGTTTGAATCCCTAACTGCACAGGTCTGAATGTGGATGATTTCTCTTCTCCTAGCCGTGATGTACCCATATGCAAGGCACTTAAACCACAGTTTATCCAGAAAGGGTCAGCAGCAGACTACTATGGTTTGTCTTGGCTGCTTTTGAGAAATTTGATGATTGTAAAGGAGCGTGCCAACCCCGGTTTAAAATCTTAATCTTCAGCTTTGTCTTCATATGTTTTCTTCATGCTACACTCATGGTTTCAGTGTGATGTGTCGATGTGAGGTGAGCCCTTACTGCGAAAAAAGCTACAGTCTGGCAGTTGCTTGCAGTTGTTGCACTCCTGTTAAACGGCTGAGGTATACTTTATTTAGCCCATCGCACTGCACCAGACATTTCCAACAAAGAGTGTTGTTAACAATGCAATTAACTGTCACTTCAAAAAGCAGGTAAAAGCAGCTTGTGAAACAAGGAGAACTGTTTATAGAGCAGTGCACAGAAGGTAGGACAAATTCATCTGTGCAGTTGGTTGGGCTTATTGACCCAGATGTCTTCGGGCAAACCCAATGGTGGTAGCGAACCCAAACATGTTTTAGTCGCTGACTCACCAAAGCAGATGGTTAGAGATACCAAAGACACCATGAAACATGATCTAAAAATTATATTCGACACACATATTTGGACTCCTGCACTTTTACTTAGACCAGGTAGTTGATTACACTGGGAAGCCTATTGTGTCCATGGACTTGGGGTTAGAAGTCTATGAACGGTGTGTGAATCCACTGAAACTCACTGTGCTGCGGTCTGAGGCTGAAGCTCCTGATGCGGCTGGACAGATGCTGCCTTGTTTTTGAATGAGATAAGAGATAGCCCGGGGCAGTGGTGTCAGAGCCTGTGATGGACATTTAGACAGCGAGCAGAAAGAGGAGTGTGTGTGTGTGTGTGTGTGTGTGTGTGTGTGTGTGTGT